GCAGGTTAAGGCGCAGCACCATGAAGCTCCTCACAGCTGCTTCAGTGCCCTCCATCCCCTGCCAGGGAGCTGACCCACCCACTGTTCCCCTCAGCAGTGTACTTCATCAATCTGCCTGTTCTGCTCCCCACTGTGTCTCTGAGGAATTTCTCACCACCTCTGCACCTTTAGCCTGTACCCCAGTTTTGTAATGCATAAATAAATCAATCTTAAAAAAAAAAAAAAAGAATGGCTATTGCGCTAACTTAGCAGCTGGAATAAAGCCTGTGATACCAATGCTGGCTGCAGACTTGACACTCATCTTGGACAGTTTGATTTGACAACGGTAACGTTTTATTTTACCATATATACTACTTTTGGGGAAGAGGCAAGATGGCGACAGAGTAAAGACACTGAAATCACTACATCCAAGCTCACACAGGATTATAAGACTAAAAACGGACTACAGATATACGCGCTATGAGTTTCAACCCAAACGACGACACCCTGGACTCACTAGAAGGAAGATAACTGAGGGAGAATTGGCGATTGGGAGTTTGATAGGGGAGCTCCTATCTGGGAGCACCCAGGTGCCCAGGCACTAGGAAGTGCCTCAGACAGGGTAAGTGGAACCCTGCAGCTCCCATGGGGGAGATGGGGAGTGCGCCCAGGCTCTAGTGCCTCAGAGGGAGGCTTCCTGCTCATTTGGCTTTGTGAGTGGAACCCAAGCTGTGAGAAAAGAGTGCAAGTGGGCACACAGAACCCAGGAGGTGGGGAGGAAAATCTGGTGACTCGGGCAGCTGTAGGGCTTGCAACCCTTTCACCCACCCCCACAGCACAGGCCTGGAGGCTTGTTCCCACCATTAGTCACTAAGGTGGGGCCAGCAAGTTCACAAAGCCCCTGAGGTAAAAGGGGGAAAAAAAAAAAACAGTTAAACTGAATCAAAAACAGGCCCATTAACACTCTACCAAGTGGTAGGGAAAGACTGCTCAGGGAGCAACTGATCTGAGTAGGCACAAAGAGCTCTGGAGGCCCTGAGGGAGGACTGGCAGCCTGCACAATAGGGGGGCGTGCAGAATTAGGACTCAAGGTGTGTTCCTGGACAGCAGCAGCCGGAAGACTTGTGAGCCAGTAAGGCATTGCCTTGTAAGGTTCACAGTGCTCAGAAAATAAACCATACATACTACTTTTTACTCAGTCATCTTAAAATGCAATAGTGATCATAATTTTCATTGTTGTGGTAATAATAATTGGACATTTTGAGTAAGTTCAATGTACCAGTCATTACACATAGTACTTTACAGAGGTTTTTGCACTTAACCATAGTGATAACATGCAAGGGCAATAGTGTACTTGCCACTTAATGTGTAAGAAAAAAGAAAAGGGGAAACACTCTTCCAAATTAATTCACAGTAATTAGATACCCATGCTGTGAACTCAGGTCTCACTGAATCCCCCCTGTGCTTCCTACTATGGCCCAGTTCTACTGTTTCATAAAATAGAATCCAGGATACTGTCACTCTGTCATAGCATTGCTGTGACAAACATACAGACAGCAAGTCTAAGCTATGTGTTCCTAGTATAGAGTCAGTGTCATCATCTCCTATCCTAAGAATAATGCATTTTATGCTCATTTCTCCTGGCCTAATTTACTTTTTAAAAAATCCTTTAGAAAATAATCCTCTGGCTAGGCAAGGTTCAATGAAAGACACAGTAAGTGCATTAAGTAAAAAAAAAAAAAAAAAAAAAATCCACCTCATATGTTTATTTTTTCTAGCCCCCAAAAAATGATTTAGCAAACTAAATATACTACAGGGACAGAAAACACCCATATGTCTCTGCACATGTGTGTTACTCATAAAATATATACAATGTGCACAGCCAACTGGACTAAGACTGAAATTCCTTCTAAGAAGTTCTAGGAAGTCCATAAAGTATAAACGTAAGTTTTTCTCAAGAGAAATGAATACAACATCCCTAAAGTCATGGTAGATAAAGTCCATGCTGTAGTTAAGGGTCTATTCTTCTAATAGATCTTTGTAATTTACTGTTTCATTATTAAAGTAACAATATTAAGCAATTATGCACTATTCTGGTCACTGGAAATACAGTACTGAGCAAAAATAGGATGAAATTTTTCCTCATTAAACTTAAAATCGAGTGGGGAAAGTTCAATGAATATAAAACTACCAATGGGAACAGGAAAGTCACACATGGGTGCAAATACAGCAAACATCACTAGAATGGCCACTAGTGGTAGTGGGAGGGCGTTCAGAGAACACTGCATGAAGAATTGAATTGAGTTCATGAGATGTCTAGGAATTGGCCAAATGAACCTAGGAGGAGGCAGACAGTATTATTTCCACGGGGAGGGGATAAAAAGGAGAACAGAGGGCCCTCCCTGGTGGCGCAGCGGGTTAAAGCACTGCACTGAGAAGCTAAAGCCACTTCCACACGAGTTCGATTCCCGCCTGCCCCAGAGGTGACCACATGGCGTGACAGACCTCTCCTGACCCGCCCGCTGCTCCCCTCAGCAGTGTACTTCATCCATCTGCCTGTTCTGCTCCCCCTCTGTCTCTGGTGAAGCCTCTCACCGTCCCTGAGCCTCTGGCCTGTACCCCAGTTCTGTATGTACAAATAAAATCTTAAAAAAAAAAATCTTTAAAAAAAAAAAAAAAAAGGAGAACAGAACAGGGTCAATTTGAGCATGTGCAAAAAATCTGGTAACTGCAGCTTAGGGAAGGAAAGGTTATGCCATGATGCTGAATGGAGAGACAGGTAGGAGCAACATGCAAAGATTTAGGGTCCAAGTTAGGAATTAGTCTCTTCCCTGTGAACAATGTAAAACAAGTGACACTAGTACTCTTCATAGTTCTCATCTATAGACATTTCAAACATTTTCCAAGTAATGAAAGCCATAAATATAACTCATCTGTAAGAAAAGACAAATGTAAAAATTTAGAAATCAAAGTGCAATAAAAACAAGGGAGGTCTGAAGTAGCAGTCTAGGGTAACTCTGGCCACATAATTCCACTCAGAATGGAAGCCATCATTAACTTTTCTTTTATCACTATGTCTTCTATGTTTCATGGAAGATGAAGGGTTCTTACAATTAAATGAAGGGCCAGTGCTAACCCTACAATGGTACACATCAGTGAACTGTTTCCATGTATATAAGTAATCAATCAAATGTATTCATCAAAAATCTAGCAATTCTAGCATCTTTAATCTCTCAGACTTTATTTGAACTTCTGTACTACAAAAACTCCTCCCATCACAAGGAGGCTGAAAATTTTATTATAGCTGCATTTTGATAGTGAAATTCTGGGAGACTATCAGAGTTAAATGGGGCTTAAATGAAATCAGGTAGATTTTGACCTGTAGAACCTAGCATTTTCCCAGTTTTAGATATTTTGATCTCCCATTTACCCAGGGTTTTAGTTATTTTTAGGCTTCAAAATCTGCACTTATCTTTTACTCTGCTGGGGCCTAACAAAGGTTTAAATTCATCTTTAGAAAGCTGGGTCTAATTTTCTTTCCAGAAGAACTCTTTTATCTAGAATGATCTCAGTTTTCTTCATTATTCAATCACAAATGATTAATTCTTTGTATGCAAATTAGTACATAATTTAGTCTATTTTTCTGATGTTTTGAAGAAGTAGTAAAACAGGAGAAAGTTACATGTAATATATGCCTATTAATGATTATGAAGATATAATCATAAATTGTTTCCTTCCTCCCAGTCAGATTGATGATGTTCATATAAAGGAGTTTCTATTTGTAAAGAGTATTTGTGGGATATTGTCATTCACTCTGCATCACATTAAAATACACACTGCATAGGTACTGGTAATCATCCCATTATCATATCCGGCCCCCCAACAATTAGCATTTATATACTAGGAAACAAAAGAAGAGAGAATGACTTCCTCTTAATAATGTACTGGAACATAAACTCACATCATCTGATCCTCCAATTACCATTTCGCTATGCCACATTGCTACAGACTCTTTCTAAATGTTTATTTCCTTCACATTTAGTAAAAACATTGAGAAAAAATACAGGAAACGGAAAAGCGGAAGATTAATACTCTCGATAGTTGCTTCAGGCTGCTACAAATCATAATTCTCTGTTAAACATTATGCTTTGCTTTGGAGAATAAGGTTTGTAGAAACCTGATAACATTAGCCAATGCAAATTAGATTATTCCTTTGCTGCTCCAACTTATTAAATGCACAACAGATGACTTCATGTTTTTATTATTGGGAAAAAGACTTCTTAGAAACTCTGGCTATTATCACATGTATGTCATCATAAATGATTATTCAGTACCTATTTCAAGATCCTCAACAGAATCAGAACAGTGATTTCTAAGTATGTTCAGTGAAATCTGTCTTCAGGGACAGTTTAGATTAATAATTTTGAAAATATAAAAAAAATTACCTGCTCCTCTGGTATGATTAAAATCTCCTTTGATGATTTTACACGATTTTCCGTTGCCATTGCATACCCCACAGTGATCTTCCCTTGCAAGAGACCCTAAGAAACCATCACAGCCAACTTTCTGTTAACAAGACAATGACAATACATCATAAAGTGAGTTTTTCTGTTTTGACTACTAATATAGGGCCATTCTAGTCTTTTAAAAAAGCAGACACACCTAACTGACAAACTCTGGTGCAGATTAAATGAGCAAGTTCATGTCAAATAGTAACTGTAAAGAAAATACCTAAAATAGTGATGTGTATTAAGTGAAATCCTAATGCAATTTGGAAGTGTTACTGAGACCAATACAATTTACAAAAATCACAAATTAAAGCACCTACTAAATATAACACAATCAAATTCATTCTATTCAACACAGGAAAGTTAAGTGCATTATATGAACAACTTTATTTCTAAAGTAGCTGCAAAGCAAATGCTGAACATTAAATATTAACTTTCTAAAAAGCAAATAAAATGTTATTTTCACTACAGTTCATAAATAAATTCTACTCCAATTTTCTTTGGCATCAAGCACATAAATGTAAGAACTACTCACAACCCATGGCAACTCTAAGGAAATACTAACAATGCAGGAATTAATTTTTACATGCTCCCATAAGAATTCTGTTACCATGAATCATCTGAGATTAAATCAATTGATTTATTTGGTGAAAAATGTTTTCTGCCAATCGATTGTTACAAAATATGATTATATTTTGTAAAGTTGTGCCTACTCAAAGGGTAGAATATGTCAATACTGTCAGAAATAAGTGACAGGGTTATAAACTACCTCTAAGCAAAAAGTTACAGGCAAGAATGATGAGATATATTCATTTATAACAAGTTACAACTGTTTTAGAGGAACTTTTAAATAAAAAAAAGGGTTATTTTCTATGTGGGTGGAGTTGGGTAAGGGAAACAAGCAGATTATACAATGCAGGGGTAGGATGAAAATCCCGAGAAAGCAAAAAATCACATTAAATCTGCACAATGTACCATTCTTTCCTTTTGTCAGGGGAAACCTATTGGTGTGAAGAAATAGACAAACCAATGCATTCCTGAAGAACTCTGATCTGTGAGTCAAAGCTTATTTAGGGAGGAAAAAAGAAAATGTGGTTGGATGAAAAGGGAGGCCACTACAGGAAATGCTGAAAATACAGCAAAGGGGTTAGAAGAGTTCCCCTCGCAGGACTCACCAGAGACAGCTAGGAGCAATAAGGTGAGAAAAAAAACCTCTTCACGTTAACATGATGAAAATGTTTAGAGTGCAGACAGTGACTTTTGAAATAACAGAAGCACCCACAATGTCCATCTCTAGCACTGAGCTGGTTTGGGGCAAATAATGAACACAGTAATTGGTAGTTACATTATTCAGTGCATTGAAACTGGTAGTTTTTTTTTGTTTGTTTGTTTGTTTTTCCCTGACTCTTGGTAACAGTTAGGGATAGACATAATGCCCTGTGTCAATAATCATGTATTTTCAAAATTAAAAATTTTCTATTTCCTCATTATAGTCTGATGTACTCGCACTTGCCAAAATACTAACCACATAAATCAGAAAGTTGAGGTGGATCTACTTTGAAAAGGCAATAACATTTAATGGGTGGCAGGAGATGGGGGTCACACTGGCAGGCAGGCATGGGAAGAGAACATATTACAGACAATGAACTTTATCCTTTTCCATCATGGAAACACTACAGAGCTAAATTTGGCTGGCTAGAGAAAGCTATTTCTTCTTCTTCTTCTTTTTTTTTTTTTTACTAGGGTATAATTTAAATATAGCATTCTACTTAGTCCTAGATGTACAAAAGAACAATTTGGTATTTGTGTATACTGTGTAAGTCTAGTTAACACTTGTCACCTTACATTGCTACATATTTTTTCTCATGATGAAAAATTTAAAATTCTACTTTTAGCAACTTTCCAAAATGCAATGCAGTATGACTCACTATACTCAACTTGCTATAAATTACAACTGACTTTTTTCAGATTTCAAGTTTATACCCTTTGACTCCCTTCACCTATTTTAAGCCATTCATTCTGGCTCTGAATATTGTCTATTTTCATTATCCTGCCTCAGCCGATTCACCAAGTTTTATATATCCAGCTTCATTACTGCATATTTTGTATAAAACAAAATTTTAAAAATTCTGGCCAAACCTGATATACAGAGAGTTGTCAAAAGGGAAAAAAAGGAAATGTTTTTAATTATACTTTAAGGCTGAATGAAATATTTCAGTGAAGAAGCAAAAATCCCGAAGCATAAAGCTGTCAGAAGTCACAATATGTTTCACAGAACTTTATTTAATTTTAACTCATCAGACTCATATTAGCACTTGTACAGAATTTCTGTTGTTGCTGTAATGTTAATATCTAGCTGGGAACTCTATAAAAGATTTGGCTGATTATTAACTGCTAAGTGAAAGGCATAGCAATTTTAAGCTATTGTATTTGGCATATACTCTTAGAAAAATAATTTTTTGAAAAATTAATCAAAAGGCATACAATAATATTTGCATGTAATGTATATTAAATCAAAGGCATTACCTGAACAAACATACAATTGTGATAACAAAATATGAGTAGGTATAAATTCCTGCAATGTTTTTTTTTACACACCTAAGAAAACTTCCATTTTAGCATATCACCATATTCCATTAAACAATAAAATAAGTTAATATGCAATTATAAGCTTCTGATGCTTCTTATACATGTTTATGTGCTTTAAACGGTATAGAGTGCAGGCAACATATACTCTTGGAGTTGGGAATATTGTTTTTTACTCAGAAGTCTATAGACCAGCCACAGATAGTGATCTAACAATAGCTTGTAAATTGTTTAAAAACATTGACAGGGGTGAGGCGATAGGCAGAGAGGAAGGAAAGGTGCCCGATCTGCATTTTCTGGGGGAAAAAAAAAGTTTTTGACTATTGGGTGACAAATTCATTTCGTAGCTTAGTTCTGGATGCACACAGATGTCAAATGAACCTGCCTAGGGACAACACTGGTTCCCTGTGGCTGCCACAGACACAGGGCCCCTCTGCTCACCCCTGCTTCATAAGCAAAGGTTTCATCTTTCTCCCATGCCTGGGAAATTGATCAACTATCAGTCCTCTTCAGAAAACAGCCAGCTTGAGGTGACCTTCCTTTCCTGGGGCAGTTGCACTGAAACTCTAGTTGCGGCAGATAGTCTGGGGTTTCTTAGTGCAAATGAAGCTCCACCAAGCTTCAATATTTCCCACAAAGATCAGCACATCTCTTGCTGAGATTCGCCACAGTGTAGTTTCTGCCTGCACCCAATCCTGCCTTGTCACCCTACTGCCATCCCCAAAGCACTTTAGCATTAAACTTCTTGCATATTAATCTTTCAGAGAAAACCAACCTGAAATGGTGACAGAGCCATGACTAGCTGTAACAAATTTCTGTTCTAAAGCTAAATGAAGAGCACATAAATGCTTAGAATGACTTTTTTAAAAAAGAAGTGAAAGACAGGCTAAATGATTAAGAATTACAAGAAAATGAAATACACATTTTATAATCCGCTAATTCCAGGGTGTTGAAACTACTTCCAGAGTAACTACGTAACCAGGTAACCAGACAGATTTTGAGGTTTTTATCATAAGGCTCAATCTTGGAAACAAGACAAGAGAGAATGGGAGGCCTTTCATTTTTGTTCATATTTGACAGCCAATTTTTTTTTTGCAATGGTGGGGCTATACTTTGTGCAATACAGTTTCAAAATATCAGACTAGTTAATGGCTATTATGAATTATCTAAACCGAAACTTTCATTATACAGATGACAAACAGTTTTACTGCCAGGTCAGGAGAACAATCACGTCTCCTGAATCTTAGTCCAGAGCTTTCCACCATGGGCTAGACCTGTTTAATTGTCTCGCAATTCTCTTAGGATATATAAATTTTCCCTTTGGAGGGTCTTACCTGGCACCTGCCATTTGCACAGATATCTAATCCTTGATATCCACAAGAAGTCCCATCCATCACTTTTTCTGCTAAGAGAATAGGCTGTTCTTTTCCCACAGGTGAGCAAAACAAGGCACAAGGTTTTTCTACACACAATATGGATGGAAAAAAGTGAGTTAAAGTCACAAATATTTTTATCTTAACTTATTTTATAGATCACTGAGTAAAAATATAATTTGATGTTAATTGAGTAATTCAACACTAGTGTAGATAATATTCGAGGTTTATTATGAATAGTATTTGCTGGTGCTTGAGAAAGTAGGTATCCAGTCAATAGTAAACTCAATGGGTCTTCACGTTAATTTTTAAGTATTTTACTATTTCCTGACACTGAAACTATACTAATCATTCTTTCTGAAGAATAATTTACATGTTGCTATTTTTTTATATTTAGCTTTTTGGAAAGCTTTCCCCTTAAGTCATATAAGAAGTCTATCTTATTCGTTCAAGCTTTATTGAGGTTTCATTTCTAAGTATCAATGCACTGATTTCAGTCCTATGCATTTGGCATTTTCTAATGTAAAATTACTAAAGGGAGAAAGAAGAATTTTTTTTTTAAGTTTAACATTACAACATTATATAGGTTTCAGGTGTGAAGCCTGAAATCAACATTGATTTCACTGCTAAATGTCCACCTCTATCCTTCAGACTGACCTTGCCCATTATCTTGACTTCTCCATCTCCCTTCCTACTTCCCTTCTGAGAATCACTAATGGGTCTTAAAGTTCAAAGGAAAGAACTTAAAGATGGACAACTCTCTAAGATCTATTATGAGGGTATTTAGAAGTGCAAGGTAGCCTCACAAGATCCTCAATTAAAATGCACAACTGCTGAAGGGCCAGCAGGCACTTAACTGCCTTTTCTGCTTACTAGAGAGCATGTGAGGACACAGCAGACCTACGCTTGGGACCACAGCACAGGTGAAGAATTCTTGAATGGCTGGCAATCTTCTCCTGTGTTTTCTTAAGCTACAAGGTAGCAGAGCTGGAGTTTAAAACATCTGCCTACTAGGTTCAAAGAGTAGCACAATATTTTTAAGGTGTTTCTATTTCTAAGCATCTACCAGAGGAGCTGTCATATTTGGTAACACCAGTAGTAGAATTACCCAAATCTGAAGCTTCAGAACAATATCCATGCTATGTTACTACTCTATTGGCTTGACCCCAGTCAGGTCCTTCACTGTTTATTAAGTTCAAATAAATAGAATGAAAAATAGCTGACAATCTCTGACACTGGACTTCAGCTATGTCTTCCGTCAAGTTCCATGTATGCTGATGGGATTCTATAAGTACCAAATTACAGCAGAGACATGGAACAGGGAACCATGTTGTAAAGGGAAAAAGAAGCATTTAAACGAGTCTTCAGAATTGAACATTTCAAACAGTTTTCACATGTGGCTTCTGAACACAGTTCTGAACAATTTTAGAGAGTTGGAACAAAGCCTTTAATGTGCATGGTTTTGAAATTTTCCTCTAAGATGCCATTATAAGCTGCAATAAAGCATTTCAGTGTGCTCTCGCACCTCAAACTAAGTTGTGCTTATTCAGTGATTGCTCATTATGTCACATCTTTAGATTTAAAGACAGCTGCTATAACTGTGATACTTTAAAAGTGGTAGGTATATTCTTTTTCTGGGGTTACATTGAAGAGAGGAGCAAACCAGATATATGAATAATGTTGAAAGGAGCTAGCCTAGAAAATTCTGTTCACATTCCAAGCAAGTATTCAGATAAAAATCTTTGTCTCATTTTACAATATATTGTCAATTCACTGTGCTTACTTTATCTTCACAGACGACATAAACATTTGATACCTATCTTCCTTTCTGGAGTACTCTTAAGACTGTGACATTATAGTGATCCATGTAACATGCCAGTACTTGGCAGACAGCCTGTCTTAATTTAGGAGGCCAGCCCTTTCCAAGATATGCATTAAACATGGACTTCAGCCAAATTTTACCTCACGGTATGCAAAACACCTGAATGCTAAAGTCACACATCTTTTTGTCCAAAAAATAAAGGTTCACAACTGCCACTGATACCCTATATTTAATTCTTCCTACCATAAATCTATGTATTGCATAAGAAGAACAGAAGTAGCCCTTTGCATTTTAAACTATAACGTGTTATAAAGACTTGAGATTTTTTAAAGAATTACAGATTTCTATTCCTTCCATAGTGCCATGGTACTCCAAAATTAGTGTTATGTAGAGAGTGTGTTTGATTGCTAGATGTTAAAAAAATTAAAAAAATACTGACCTGCTGATTATCTATCTATTATGGATCATAGTGGTGGTTCATCTTATAAGAGTTAGGAGCTTCTTTATTTTAAATTGACCTCTACCCAGTTCTGAGGTGCATTTTTTTTTTTTTTGTCTGCTTGTTTTTGCTTTAAATCTGGTGGGGAACTGTTTACTAGCTCTTATTTTACATATTATTAAATAGGCTTCAAATGATTTTTAACAGTATCAAATGTTACAACCAGTGAGAAGAAAAGATAGAATACGCCCTCAAGTCACAAGATGATGATTCTTGTGACTGGAGTAATATTGCTTAGAATTTACCACAGCAACATTATTTATGTATTAAAATTCATACAAAAAATATTTACTAATGAAAACAGGGTGTCTGTGGGAATAGTTGAACGGGGCATCTATCCAATTTGAAGAAACAAAGTATTTCTTTTTCCCTAGAGGAATTGACATAAACTAAGTTCAAAAATCAGTACAAATCTTAAAGATAAATAAATGATGGTGAAAGAAATATAAAAGTTTGAAGAAAGAACAGTATTGTGACAATAAAAGAAAATCTAGCATGCTATGGGTCCAAAAATAGGAGTACATGGTGAGTGGAGTGAAATTTAGCTTGGCTGTAGCAGGAGACTACAAAAGGGAAAGACGGAGGTAGGACAGGAGATGATCTAATAAACCAGGTCACGAAGTTTGTGGTGGATGCTGAGGCAATGGACTCATCAAGGGTCTGGGGCAGTGACTGACAGAATGGCCTCACAAAAGACCACCTAACTGAAATGAGGAGTGGGCCTGGAGGAATGTCAGCTGTAACGAGGGAGATGGCAGGAAAGTTGCTGGACGAATCCAGGTTGGAAATGGCGCAATAAAGATCATAATGCTAGTGGTAAGGATCAAAAGGTTTGGAGAAAGAGTTTACCGATTGATTTAAAAAGGATGGAAACTGAGGATGAAAATTTCTGGCTTAGTTTGGTAAGCGGAGTTGAAGTGGAGAGATTATCAGGTAAGACATAGTGATGTACAGGAAGATGGAAATGGCCAGAATGGCATACATACGTCTCTGGGATGTGCAACTGAGAGGACAATGGCCCTGGTTGAAATAGGACACACAAAAGAGGATCAAAATGGGCATGGGTTAGAAAGGTTAAGATCATGCACTGAACCTTGAACTGTAGATAACATCCAGAAATAACAGGTGGGAGTTATAGATACAAATTTGGAGCTCAAAAGGAAAATCTGGCTGTGGATATGAATTCATGAGTTATCTTCATATTTGAAGTCATAGAAATAGATGAGATCACCTAAGAAATAAAATGCAGAGTGATTCTTAAGAAGCAGAGATAGCAGTAAGACCAAAATTGTGTTTGCATGAAAACAAGGGTATATGAGTGTTTTAAGAACCAAAGAGTGGTCAATTATATGAATATATTTACAGTATCAAGTAAAAAAAAAAAAAAAGAACTGAAACAAAGTCACTAGGCTTAATAAAAGTCCTTGAGCAGATTAGTGAGATTTGTGTTGGTGGAATCCAGACAGAAAGGAAGGAAACAGAAGGCTGGAATTTAGATGATTCTTTTGAAAAGGATGTCTATGAAGGACTAAGTCTAAGTGCATTAGCTGAAAGATGCTATAGCTTAAAAAAAAAAAAAAAGCTTGTATTTTTTAGGGAGAATCTAAAAATGGTTAAAATTGAAAGTCAATGATCCAATGGAAAAAGGGGTTAAATATCTAAGAGAAAGTAGCAGTAATAGGATAGTTGAGAAGGGAAGACAGAGCTAATAGTACCCAGGACTATTAGCTGGTGAAAAGGTTAAAACTCTGTATATTTTAGAGAAGATGGAATATCTGTTGAGATAACTAGGCTTTTCTGTTTTATAGCAAGATGATGACAATGTAACCCTCTTCAAATTATATAGAACACCCTGACCTGCTGTTTAGTGACTTCCATTAGTGCTGTGTATTCCAATGATTTCAGTGAGAGAAGGGTTTTGTCTGATGACTACACTAAAATTAAGAAGTAGTAGAATTTAGGCTATAACTGGGAGTGTTATTGCAATGATAGAAAGTGAAATCCAAATTGACTAAGAAAAGAAATAAAGAAAAGACAGGGGTGATATAGTTAAAAATTAAGTCCATTTTGTCAATTGCAACAAACCTAAAACCCATTGACAGTGGGCCCTGTTAAGGGTAAGAAGTACTTTCCTCAAGATTATTATCCTGAAATAATTAAGACTTGGAGAAAACTGCAAAAGTAATACAGAGTGGTGACATGTACTTTTCACCCAGTTTTCCCAAATGGTAACTATTAGGTAACAGCAAGCTTGTGGAATTGTAATTAATACATGTTCTGTGTACATAATTTTACACAATTGTATCACATGTGGATTTTATAACCTTCCATCACAGTGAAGATACAGAACTATTCCATCAACATGAAGTTTGTCCATCCTTCTCCCCACCACAATCCCTAAGTCCTGGCAACCAGTAATCTGTCTGTTTTCCATCTCTATGGTTTATCATTTGAAGAATGACATTAAATTGAAACCAAACAGATTTTTACCTTTTGACTCTGATAATAAAACATCTATGAACACTTGTATATAGGATTTTTATTTTAAATCCAGGACTATATTTTCTCAACTGTATGATGAGGGCATATTTAGTTGCTCAAGAAACTGCCAACCTTTTTTCAGAGCAGCCATGCAATTTTACATTCCTATGAGGAATGCATGAGCTACCCAATTTCTCCTCATCCTTGTCAGCACTTGTTATTGCTACCTTTTAAATTTTAGTTGATTTAATAACTGCTTAGTTGATTTGATAACATCTTTGTTTTAAGTAAGGTATAAATGACATATAACTTTATTCTAGTTTCAGATGCACTTGACCTAACATATGTATATAATGTGTACAGAACATAATGCTATATTTAATTAACATTCATAACTATGGACAATTACAATTAATTTACTTGTGCTGAGAACTTTTGACATCTACTACCTCAGTGACTCTCGAATATGTACAACACAGTATTATTAGCTACAATCACCATTTTGTATATTAGAACCCCATGACTTATTTATTTACTCACTTAACAGCTAGAGGTTTGTACCTATTGGCCCACCTCACCCATTTTGCTCACCCTTCTTCTCTGGCAGCTACCGATCTCATTATAGCTCTTTCCAACATTTTTAGTGATTGCCCATGATTTTTACGTACCAGTAAAGGTGGAAAAAAAATACAGTTTTGCAAGACACAGAACATAATCTGTAAAATAACTTTAATTATTCTTGTGGTAAACTTTGTAAACCTAGAAGTCCAACTAATTCAGAAGGTAGAGATCTGTCTGGTCATACCTTCATCCATAACAGCTTGCCACTGAAGTACATGCTTTGGGTACGAAGTTCTAACACTATAGGCCTGACATTGCCAGTCCCTGAATCCAGGCAAACCTGCAGGACAAGGTGGATTCTCACATACTCTGTACTGTTTTCTGGGACCATTACAATCCCTTGCTTCAGAACCTCGCCTAGAAAAGACAGCACAAATGATCAATTTTATGATTTATTTTGCATGTTAACTATTCATTAAACATTTAAAAATGATATTGGTAAGGGAAAACATACATATTAAATCTACTTTTGAAAATGTAGATACATTATTAGTAACAGAAGGAAATCCACTTATTTTTTAAAAGACTTTTTTTTATAGCTCTGATCAATTTAATCTTCATAATAAATGAGAAATAAAAGCTAATTTGTCATGAAAGTGGATACGGGGGAGAAAAGGGCAGAAAATGAGGCAAAATATTTCAGAAAGAATGAAATGCACATGAAGTTTTATTCTTAAAATTATTGAGACAATACTTCTGGCATTTTTCTACAAATTCCTCAAAACTGCTTATGAAAGAACAGGACCACTTAACCAGCAAGTGCTGAGGTGTGAGTGTTGAGATGACTTTTTCACACATTTTCTAACATCATTCTAGAATGATGGGTTGAACACGCTCACATTGCAATGTTCCCCAACTGTAAATGTATTTAGCATATTTCCATTTTTCATCATTCTTATTTTTTTTCCTTTAAAGATTTTATTTATTTATTTACAGAAGTGGGGTACCGGCCAGAGGTGCTGGGTTCACCAGAGACAGAGTGGGGAGCAGAACAGGCAGAGCAATGAAGTACACTGCTGAGGAGTGCAGCGGGCGGGTCATGAAAAGTCTGCCGCGCCATGTGGGTCACCTCCAGGGGCTGGAGATCAAACTTGCACTAAAAAGGCTGCAGCTGGCTTGCAGTGCTGCTGCACTTTAACCTGCTGCAGTTTTATTAATGTTAATTTTGTTCTCATTTCTTACCTCCCTGTAATGCCATCATTTCCTTAGTCTTACACGGTGCCATGTTTTGTGTAACCCATATGTTTATTTAAACACACTTTATTTGATTTACTATCCTTTATATCACTTAATTATTACTCCCAGAAAGCTTGGTTCTTACTGTTTTCTGAAAAGGGAGCTTTTTTGTTGTTGTTGTTTTCACCATGTAACTTCAGCAATTTGCAGTGTTCCAAAGTGGAGTTTGAGGGGCTCCTTTTGCCTCCCAGCCTGGCCTATCAGTAAAGCATTTGTAAATCAAAATTGAAGAGAAAAGTGCTCTCCCCCAACTCAGGAACTGAGTATTTACCCAGAACATCTGCGCTCGCGACCGCTGATCCCAGAACTGCAGGTCCGGCTACATGGACTCCACACGCTCCACTCTCCGGCCGCATGTCCAGGGGCTGATGTCCTGCTGCTACATTCTCCAGCCTTACACCACTATTCCAAAAGGTAGGTCTTAGGTGAACAAATTAGGGCACAATGGAAAATCATTCACTGGCCTACAAAAATCACTGGGATTGTGATTAAATCACGTATCTAAACACAGGGAATTAAAAACCAAACAAAAAAATTTACTACAGTCATAGTAAATTATGGTCCTGAGCTCCCAGTTTCCAAAGTCCATGCAGACAGTGCACAGATACTTGTGCTACAGCCCTGAGAACCCAGGGCTTGCTGGTGAAGCTAGGGTGAAGAGGTAAAGTGGGAACAGCATAGTCAGGGGGGAAAAAGGAAAGCTAACCCTTGCCAAGAAACATTAATTCAAAAGAGACAAAAAGCATCAAGTCACATACAACAATGAAATATAAGGAATAAATTTCCTTTTACCACTACTGGGTAGCAGGCATTTTAGCAAATTTTGCAATGTTTATATGAAACTTCAGTGATTCAGGTTATTCTCTTTCCTGAAAATTAAAAAGGTATAATTTAACACTTTCCTTTATGCCTCTTTTTATTAGAGTCTCTATTATATTCAAATATTATTATAACAAGCTTTTCTTGGAAAGCTGTTTATTTGAAAGACTTGAATAATTAAGACTCTGAAATTCTATCATTTTAATCCATTAATTCTATAGCATATTTGGTATTTGTTAAAGGGAACTGTAACAATAAACATAACATATATAATGATGTTCTATTACTTTTTCAGTATCTTTAAACTGAAGCAGCAAAAGAGGCTGCTTCTTTTGTTACCAAGGAATGTTTACCAGATCTTGGTAAGACAGATTGTGGTGACATCTTACGCCTGGAAAATCATATATGTGATGTTCAAAGTAAATATGTTAAAGGTAAAAAGTACTGAAGAAAATGAATTAGAAGATTGGGAAATTTTGTATTAATGTCTGCATAATGGCAAGAGTTAAGAAAGCTGATTTGTGTAGCCCTAAATAATTTTCTGTCCTTAATTGTAACATGATCTTTAAGGTATCTTGAGAAAATCACAAGAACATTTTGTGTCTCAGTTTTCCCATTTCAAAATAAAAATGATAATGACAGTCATATTGGCCTAAGAGACATTCTGGAAGGGATGAATAAAGCAATAAACAGTCCCATGGCCTATACTAAAGATTTCAATAAAGGTTAATTCTAACAACATTAGTAGAAAACTACACTGCATAGCTTTATTTGAGCTAAAATATGCTTCTGTATGCAACAGAATAATTGATTCCCAAAGGTTTTCTCTAAAAATATAAGTTCAACCATTTTTAATTCAAGAAGTTTCAAATCTAAGTCACAAAAACAAAAACTTTTCTACAACCCAGAGCGTATGGATATACTGATTGCTGTTAAATGAACTGGAATTTTGCAAGAAGATTCAGCCTGCAAATTGCAGAAACATGAAAAACACAGACTCTGTGAAAGTTTTAAACAACTTTCTGGTTTTAAGAATTTAACAATGTCATGCCATTCATGGGGAAAAACATCCAAAGTGAAAGCTGTCAAATTTCAACTGGTCAAATTGTTTTGGCCTCCATGAATGGTGTTTATTTTTCCCAGAGTGCATATCATAGTTCCATTTAGCAGCAAGCTGGCATTGAGAGGCTGGGCTAGAGTTCATAGCAGACTAAAAATACTCTGGGAAACACTGGGATCTAAACCTGCACATCATTTAAACCAGACCACATCTGGCAGATGAAGAGAAATGGAAACAGTCCCGTAAGCCAATTTGCCCACACATATCAATGAAATTTAAAGAAAGCATAGTGTAATATTTCAGGCCGATCACTTGCAGATAAACCAGGTCTCTGGGCGAAGCTATGGAGAACATGCTTTTGTGCTTTGAATGCAGTGCTGTGCTTCAACACTGAAAAAAGTGTCAAATGATGCTATGATTTAGTCATAAACAACTGCAAATGAATTAAAAACTTTAATTTGTCATTATATGAGTCCAGTTTGATTGATGAAAATGCTAAGGGAGTATAATAATGGAATATTTATAAAACAAAACATGACCTAGAAAAGTAACTCTACTTTTTATTCTCTCATAGTTCCATGAGGATATGTCTAGGAAGTTCTTGAACGTGCCCAATCACAAGCACTCCATGAAAATGTGAAGGAAAATGATTATTTTCTAATCAAACCCTGTTATGTCCAATTTTGGATGAGAAGGCAATAAACTCTGTATATATGCACATCTTCATTTTAAAGCTATCAGTCTTCATTTTTTTAATGAAGTATCATAATGGCAACATCAATAATCTAAATTTAGAAAAATAATGAAGTAATCAACATACAGAATTCTTAAAGAAGTCAATCTCTAGAACTTGGTATTTAACTTTCCTTTCCTATCCCCTAATATCTAGTAAGTATTTTAAATAAAAAGGGCATTTCTTGGTTTTTACCAAATTACTTATGAGCTCTTTATCCTATGTAAAATGTAAACATAGATACTCGTATTATAAAGAGAAGAAAGAAAGCAGACTACTTTTTAAAAAAAAAAGATTTATTTATTAATCATACAGAACTGGGGTATGAGCCAGAGGTACAGGGGCTGTGAGAGGATCACCAGAGACAGAGAGGGGAGCAAAACAGGCAGATCAATGAAGTACACTGCTGAGAGGAGCAGCAAGTGAGACAGGAGAGGTCTGCCGCGCCATGTGCTTTTACTTTGAAGAATTCTGTCTCCAAATGATAAATGCATCTTTCACAATTATATCTAATTGTAAAATTCTATAGGCACCTTCTCAGACTTTATGATATATCCCTAGATGAGCTAGTTTAAGCAATTAGACTGACATCACTAGAATACAACAGCAACATTTCTAGTCTTATTTCGTGGTTTGCAATGTTATTGCACCAGAGGTGCTTAAAGCAAGGTTGCATGTGTTCAGATATTTTAGCGCGACAGCATTTGGCTGCTACAACAGCCTAAACAGATGGCTATCTGAAGAAGCCCGCATGGCCTGTGGGACTGACAAGTTCATTAGCTATTTCAATACTGAAAGCATTACAGAACCACTAAAGAATATTATCAGGAACTAAAACATTTTACTTTTGATAAGAAATTACAGTTTGGATTACTGAAAGAATAAATTTATTTTAGAGACCTCAAGAATGCTAAGTGCTCCCATAAAGATGATAAAAAATAATAGAACAAATTGAGGACATCAGTTCACAAGAATGAAGAAATTTCTATATTATTAAAAATTACATTAGGTGAATGGGTTGTTGATGTTTGAAGAAATATAACGGAATATTTGGTTATCTTTCATTGCTGTTTTCAGGTTTTAGGGATGATGAAAATAATACTGGTACAGAACTTTATGATTCAAACAATAATTTACTCAGCATAATATTATGAAACTTATCCAATATACACGTTTTTTTTTATTGAAAATAAAAAAAATCCAAATTCTAACTTTCCATGTAGCATATGGAAAAATATTTAGCAAAGTCTGTAATAACTGATGATATTTCACAGAAGTTCCCTTTCAAGCAATTTTTTCTCATTGAATTTTGTCTAATGAGAAGACATTTCCAGTCTTTAAAAAAATATTTTGAACTTAATAATTGTACATTTTTTCCATTTTTTAATTAAAGAAACCCTAAAAGTAATAAACGACTCTATTTCCAAAAGTCCAGAAATATCCTGAAAAGTTACATTCATTTTCACCTTGCACACCCTTATTCCCAACCATCAATCATGACCTCCTTCCCCCCAAGAGTTAACTACTAATTAAAGTTTGGGGCTTATATTTTTAAGCCCTTAGAAAAGGGTTTTAAAACATATGATCTGTATATGAGTGTAATCACATCTGTCTATAAACTAATTGTTGTTCTTAAATCTCAACTGGGGGTTTAAAGAATCCATGTGCCTGAGACCATGTGTTGTTACTACAAACAGATCTACCTTATTATAGAAACAGCTAAACAGCTACAGTGTAGTGATTCTGCTCCTGATGAATATTTTAATTTTTCCTTTCTCACCTCTGCATAGTGTTTCCCAGCACAAGAATTTGCACATGCATGGTTGTGTGCACATGTGTGAATGTTGCCTGTGGACACGGATGCCCACACTTCTATCCACATGTATATTCATATGTCCTTCAGAGAAAATTCTAGAAATGGAATGGCTGAATTTTTGTTTTTATATCTATTTTTTCAACTGATTTGCTTTTAAACTAGAGCTCTATATAATTTAATTTTTCCACTAAATAATTCATCTAATTAATCCTTAGATTCTTCAGGTTGGTGTTTTTTTTTCAAATGTAATTAAAGTGTATGTTCTTCAGAGACAAGATATCTAATCTTATAAATGATGATTGAATGGACAACAGTTCTACTTTCTGTCCACATAATAAAAATTAGAAAATTTTGTAAACTATTGAACTGTTATCTTTTCACTACATTAACCACAAGTATTTCTATTTGAGATGCACCTATTTGATATATTTGATGTTCTTCAAAAAATTAATTATCAACAGCACTTACTGTGATCTGGTTATTTACAAGAATAAATTCCTATACATTAATCTCCAAACTGTCAACTGAAATCTTTTATTTGTAATATTTGAAATTAGAAGGGAAAAAGTAAAGATACTCAGTTGTTCTCCTGAAGCACTAGAGAAGACTCATTAGCTTTTTTATTATTTGTGTTATTTGTGCTTATTTTACTTGTTTAATTTAATAGCAACAAAAATCTTTGTTCAAATAATCCATAAATTTGGTAATAATAATAAACAATAAAAATAACCACAGAGATTAACAAAATAAGCACTGATTTGAAATATGTAACAGCTAAAATTAAAAACTGATGAAATGCTAAAAATTATAATGGAATACTTTGTATTCCATTATTGTTAAGATGGGTACATACCTTAGCAGCAGAAGAAAATATTCTGTGAGTTATACTGACAGGAAAAAATGCAAGTTTCTTAATTTTCATTTAATACTCTCACTAATTTTAGGCAATGCAAATGACTTACCTTACCAGAGTCACAATCAGTTCCATCCATTGGTGGATCTAGTTTGGTTCTGCATTCTTTCTCACCTTCTACCTTGCACCATAATCCAGTACAAATAACATGCTGAAAACAAGGGCACAATTGCCAGTAAGAGGAAGTACCACACTTCTTAAGTCAATAATTTTTTAAATAATTATTTTAATAGAGATGAAATTATTTGAATAAAATGTGTTAGGTACTTTTAATATTCAACTTGCAATTGAAATAGTGTATGAATAACTTAAAGTGGCTGGAGATTGATACATATCGTAGAAAATTTGTTTAATAAAACTGAACCTTTAAGAAATTCCTTAAATGAAACACATATGGTCATGAAAGGCTAACTACAAGAGAAAATTTTGAGCTAAAAAATGATGCATACCATTGTAAGAGCCAAGCTAGAAGGCTTATGTAAATGAATTTTATGGTATGGATTTCAAAAATCCAGAATACAATGAACTTTTCTTTGAGGAAAAAAATTTGAAGGAAATAAAAAATAATACTAGGGTTAAGCAGCAAAGATATATCAACAATTGAAGAGAACTCTGCAGCACAAGAGGTGAGACTGTCAGAAATCTAAGCCAAAGCTATATTGTAGCTAACTCAGTGACACAGAGAAAAGACGTCTGTCAGGTTTTTTTGTTGCTGTTGAGTTTACTTAGTTTAAAACACAGGTTTCAGGAGTACATTTTCTCAACTCAGCCAACTAAATACATCATATTATGTCCACCACCAAATATCCAGTCACCATTCACCACCAATTTACTTTCCCGCCTCCCCAGATCCCATTCTGACAACCATAATTCTGTTGACAACTGGCACATTCTCAAGGATTTCCTATTTCTCGAAGACAACTGAAGCATTTTACATTCAATCATATTATTAACAAATAGTATAGGAACATGAACTCCATGAGGACACTTAACGGTGGTTAGAGTAATCTATAGTGAAGACGATTGTTCTACTGCCAGTATAGATAACAGGACAAGACAGTGGAAGAGAACGGGTGACAGAGACAAAACAAGCGTGACAGTCATGTAGGGGTAGAGGTCCAGTGTAATGGGTGGAGGTTTCTAACAGAAAGTGAATAAGCTTTTAAAGATAGAAGAACCAGATCATAAGTGACAGGACTAGGAATTGCTTATTTGTGGGCAAAGTGAAACCACCTAGTAGTTAACTGACAGGTTGATAAAATTGTTATTTTAGGTGGTTATTCTGGTGATGATATTCAAATCAAAAGCAAAAAATCACTATATTAAAGCTAACTCATAACCTAAATATATTAAATACTTTGGGGGTATGTTAAACATTCCACACAGATCTGCTGGAACTCCAATACTGACAACTTCTGAAACAAGATTTCCTTATTCTTTATTTGAAAATTTTGACTTGTGGAATGTTTGTAAACTCTTGAAAATTTAGAAGTCTATGGAAAGATATATCTTATTTACATTCTTTTATCTGCTGTGATGACTTTTTTTCTGCTTCAAAATGCTTTACATAAATATATATTTTAATATATAGGATTTTTTTTTCCAGCTTAACTTACATGCTTTTATTTTCACCTATCACGTACCAAAAATTCATCCAGAAACTTATTTTAAAGAATGCCCAATCAAAATTTTTCTCTGCAATATTTTAGACTCTTAAAAATGAGCCCAGAAGTTCATCATATGCTTTTGTAGATAAATTTGTATTTAAGTTAGTGTATGTCTAACTTGAGAATTTTTGTTCCTAAGGTTTCCCCCTCCCCCCCAAGACCTTCTGTTAAGAATGTATGCTTATCATGAGGTCAAACTCATGAGGTCAAATGCTGAATTGGCACCAAAGAAAAACTTTGTTTTACTTACACTGAATAAAGCTAAGTTGTGTTATAACATGTGTTATTTTAGTCAAGTTCATCAGTTACCCAGTGCATACTGAAATGAAAAGCAACTCTTCTCCACTGTAGTTTTAGAATAATAGTTGCTTGTTGAAAACTGTTGGTGGTCCAAATTCTGACCTTTTACCATTATCTGCTATTCAAAACAGCAGGTATTCTAATTGATTCCCACATGAAGCACAGAGAGCTAAAAAGCAAACTTGGCAGCTTTTCAAGATAAGCACACTCATGTAGAATGCATCTCAGAGAGAAGATCTCTTTGCTCTTTCTTTATGTTCTGCAGGTCTAGTTAGGGATCTTAAAGTAAGTAAATTAGGATCACTCTTGAAAATAACTCAGACTCAGGATTTCAAACCAAACTGTCAAAATTAAAGTAAGAACACATGGAAGAAACAGCAAGGACTCTTTTCACCTAGAGAAGTGGAATGTGTCAGATGTGTGATAATAGAGCTATGTGACATCAAGTCCATTCTTGAAATAATAAAGGGCAGAGTTGGGTATTTTGTTGGAAATAAACACTCTCCATATGTTACACAAGTCAAAGTCAAATAGGTTTTTTAACTTAATTGTTGAGATACTTAAGATGTCAGTTAAGAAACTTACAACTTAAAACTGCTTTACAAAGGAATCCAGGATAGAAATACATAACTTGGCACTCTCATCAAACTAATAAAAATAACGCAATATTCTTTTTTTGTACTTTTATAATAAGAAAAGACCATTAAAAGCTTATAAAACTTTCGATTTTGTCTCAAGTATATTTTTAAATGTTCATATAAAAATACTATATTTTAAATGGAAGCTTAACTGTCCATGTATAAATAATATGAAGCTTATTGCAAAGATAAACTGTACTCATGCCTTTATAGCAAATAGTGCCATTAAGATTTTTTAAATTATCTGTTTAAAATCATCTTAGGTACATATATATTGAAGTAATAATGTTGAAGTTATAATTAAATCTTGAACATTTAACACTTTATTCTTCAAAAAAAATTCTTCAAAACTACAATTCCATATTCAACACATGACTACATATGTAATTTAGTATGGGGTAGTATTTTTTAAAAACATTCTTTGCTATCACAGACCACCTTAAAGACTAGAAAAAGGAGTGGGATGGGGGTAAAGGGATTTAAAACTTAAACAACAAAGACTCAAATAGTCTTTCTGTAAACACTAATAAAATCGAAAAATAGGCAAGAAAAAAAGTTAGCAATAACAATTAGGACTGTTAGGAATAAGAAAATGAGGGTGTAACAACAGGTGAAGTCTAAATAGCAAATAGAGATAAGTTTATACCAATGAACTTGATAATTTATATGAAACAAAAATTAGAAAAAAAAAACTAAATTTACCCTTAAAGTGGACTAAAGAAGAAAAAGCAATGCTGAACATTCTGTAACAATTCTATAGGAAAGTTAAAACTGACTGTTAAACACCTTTCCACAAAGAATATATCTGGTCCAAAAACTAACAATCTTTCAAGAAACTTGGACTCTCGGTTTACAAAAACTCTCTAGAGAACAGGAAAAAAGGAACACAATTCAACACACTTTATGATACCCAAACAAGCCAGCAATGCATCAAAAATGCACTGTACCATGACCAGGTTGAGTTTTTCCTTGAAATACAAAGTTATTGTAGTATTAGAGACTTGACTAATACAATCAAGCATATCAATAACCAAAATATCTGACTTTTATATCTATGTATACAACACATTCAATGTAAAAAAAAAAAATCTTAGCACAGTTGCCTTAGAATGAGAAATCTTCACAATTAATGGACATCTACAAAAATCAATGGTAGACACTAAGAAAACAAAAGCTGAAAGTTTTCTTTTAAGATTAGAAAATTGGCAAAGATAGCCTATTGGCACAAACATAAGGAAGTGAATATATGATGTACCTGAAGTATTAAGAGGGAAAATTTAACTGTCAATCTGGATGCCTGAACTCAGTTAAAAGTTCATTTAAGACTGAAGGTTAAAATAAAAACTCTTTCAAGGAAACAAAAACTGAGTGTTGACAATCAACAGACATGCAAAAGGGCCTGCTCAGTGATGTACTTCAAGAAGGAATATGATTTCAAAGAAAAGGTCTAAAAAACAAATGGTGAGCAGAGAGACTGACAAAAATAGGGTTAAATCCAAACAAATGACTAAAAAGCGGTATTTGAGTCTTCACCATTATGATAAATTCTTTGATGGGAAGAATCAAACTAGCTAGACAGTTAGCTCACTAATCTCAAATAGAAAATAGAAAAGACTTGATAATTGCCAGTTATAGAGTTTTATGTCTTTTTTTTCCACCATCCCCATGCCACAAACTTCAATATTACTGGCAGCAGATGTTGTGTAAAAAATATGTAAAGGAAACTAATTTATGCATAGCCAACAAATGAAGCAACAAACAGCAAAGGACTCCTTTGTAGAACACATCAAGAAGTGCTAAAACAATGAAGAATGATGTAAAAAAAATGTTTATGGTGTAGAAAATATAAAAAATAAAATTGAAAACAAAAAAACAAACAATAAAAAGTGCTAAAACAGTCAAGGAGTAACACATGTAGAGACGAGAGAACTGCCACTATCTAGTTAATGAAACACCCAAGGAAAGAATAACAAATTAGGAAGGAACTATTTAAAGTATCTGAAAGACAACTAGCACAGCACTTTCTAGTATGACAGATAAAAGGAAGACGTCCCTTCTGGAATTATGGCGTAAGTTCCCAAACAACCTGCCACATTCATTTAGATAACAATTACCATGGACAGACTATAATAATAACTTTCTGGTGATTGTGGAGTGTAAATGAAGGTAGGTAAATTTTGGGTCAGAGCTAAAGGTACTGCACAAATTAAATTTACCACCTCTGACTTCAGAGTGGCCCATGGCGGTGGCAGAATAGGGGCAGCTTAAGCAGTACTGAGAGACATGCCATCTGTTAGACTCAGACAGACAGTGAGCTGCAGGGACAATCCCCAGATAAGAAAGTCAGCAAAGCTGGATCTTCAGTTGGTACCCGATCCAGACACACCTGAGGGACACTAATGTAAGATATGAACTGCTGTCAACAATAGGTAACATAGAGTTCGTAGTATGAATTCAACAAGATTTCTTTAACAAGAGTAACATTCTTTAGAGGAATATAATAGAATGCACAGCATCAACAAGAGGGATCAGCAATTTTTTTTTTC